ATTATATCAAAATATAGCTCTCATGAACTCCTAAAACTTTTGTATGAAACATTTTTGTGTATCTCCTTCAACAAACCAGATATTGCCTGTCACATAAAATGTGAGACACCCGGTATAGGGTCTTTTATTGAGCGCTTTCTATCTTTTAACCAGAAATTCCTTTCCTCGTTGTCTTTTGTGGCGATTGAGATACCAGCCAGTTCTGTTTGGACCACGCTGGTATTTTTTCCCATTCCCCACCTAATCCTTAGGCTTAGTGATCTGGAGTACACTCCACATCCTGAGCCTTGAAATGAATGATGCATTCTGTGATATCATCGAGTCGGACGCTGATGAGATAATAAGAAACTTCAAATTCCGCCATTGAGGATGATAGTGTTCATTTTGTCCTTGATCCTGTAAATCCTATCTAAGTTTGTGGGGCCCACCATTATATCTACAGATTGCTTACAGTGATTTTATTCCAGGGAAAAGGAAGATGTAGACAAAAACGTCAAGATAACTCAACAACAGCCGAAACCTCCCCCCGCGACACCGACTCCTCCTCCCGCAACACCAGCTGTTCCTCCCATGGTGCCCCTGGTGAAACCAGTCATCAACTCTGCGAAAAACACACCTCAAACTACTGCAATCCAACCGAAACCGAATAACGCTACATCTCTGGATAAATCCCAATCGCAGAAATTCCTAGTCGTGCAAAAGCAAAAGGAGCAAATGACTTACACCAGCCCGAGGCAGAAGGCAATGGTATGGTAGTGATTGATATCTATTGAAAGGAATACAAGTTTTCATTTGTTTCTCTTTCAGAAAGTTGTAACTATCGTTGAAAAATGATTTCTTGTCTACTGATTTTCTATTAATATGTTTTGCCAACATTTGTTATTATTCAATATGAAACACCTTTCTACAGAAACTCTATAATATTCAATAGTTTGCTATTTCTTGTCAAAAACCAACTAAAAGATTATCTACAGTGACCCAGTATTCAATAGTGATAAGTATATCATCAGCAAAAGAAACAGATTCATTTCCTAATAAATAGTGGCAGAGAGCATTCGCATACATGATAAATAACACAGATACTACCAAAGTTCCATGTGATTATAGGTTATCTTCATAAAACATATAGATTATCTAAATTAAAATATAGATTAGCCACATTACGCACTTACAGACCTCACCCTATACAAACACATTGATTTTCTAATCCAGTCAATAAAAATCTACCAGATTCTTCTTCTGCACTGTAGAGTTGCACTGTTGAGAGAATATTAAATACAATATCCCCTAATAGATGAATAGATCTAACAGGTGCGTTAGAATGACCGGCGAGATCACCTGACCTCAATCCACTAGATATTTTCTCATAGAGTTATCTCAAAAACCGAACAAAACCTGTAGATTTACAAGTTTTGAAAGATAATAACGAAAATGCGAACTGNTTAGGAGCTCATTTTGAAATAAAATACTTGCTTTTCTGTAGGTGCTCAACTTCACGCTGATGCACCCCTTCGACAAGAACGGCCAAACCACCAAAGATCCAGAGAAAACGATGACCATCCTGAACAAGCAGCTGGACCCCTTGAGCGAGTACGGTCCTGGCGAAACATCAATTAAGAACGAAGCCAACACAAGCCGAGAAAGCGGCCTGCAGTACCTCATGATCAAAGACGAACCCGTAGAATGGTCGGAGGCAGATATGGAACTGATCGAGTCCAAAGACGTCTACGAAGAGGTCACCTTGAAGTCCGAACCAGAAGAACACAGCTCCGACAACAACGAAAACGAAGAGAAGATGTTCTCACCTCTGACTTGCGAACTGTGCACGGAAACGTTCACAATCCCTCGCGAGTGGGTAAGGCATGTGCAGACCCATACGGATGTGTTGCCGGCCAAGAGGAGAAGAAGAGATAGCACGGGGGTGAGTTATCATTACATAGAGCCAGACTGTCCCTATGGACATGTTGAAGGTAAAATTTGGGGTTTAGGTCTCAAACAAATCCATTGGATTCATGTCATGATTGTCAGACTGATGATCACCTATGGCCTGGTGACCTGAGGATTTACAGAAAATGGCTCCGGAAGAGCTCTCTGGCTTACAGAGACAGACTTGTCTTGCTATCTGAGTGCCATCAGTACCACATCGTCAGCGGCCATGGAAATCCTTCTAGATCTACCTCCTCTTCACATTTTTCTAGAGGGCGAGAGGCTAGATGGACTGCATATAGAATTGTGCACATCGCCAATGGCACAGATCAATCTAATGCAGAGTACAACAGACTGCTGGTTGATACTGGAAGTTACAGCTTTCTGGAAATGACCTCTGACATTATGCCTCCAACTGTCAGCTAAGAACTGCCTTATACAGTACTGTTCCCGAGTAGAGAGAACTGAATCCTCCGGGAGAAGGAAATATTAAGAGCAGATAGTTGTTGGTTCACAGATGGATCAAAAACACCTTCAGATTCTGGTGCAGATGTTTTCAGTCGCAGACACAGGACAGACATATCAATCTGCCTAGGGATCCATGTGCCTGTATTTCAAGCGGAAATCTATGCAATTGAATTGTGTGTGGAGAGATTGGTGTAATCCAACCTCACACACAAGTCAATAAAATATTCTCGGACAATCCAGCGGCGTTGAAAGGTCTTGGCTCCTTTCGGGCAAAGTTCAAATTAGTAGCAAATTGCCAAACATGACTCTCATCAACAGGAAGACCTAACAAAGGAAGACCTAACCTTACTCTACCTAACGCCTTACCTAAGTTATCATTATTATCATCATGGATCATAATTTTTCCAAATTTCGATACACTAATATGAAAAAAAAATTGTTTCTTCAATAACACCACTCGAAGTGTCGAGGTTAGGTTAGAAGTTAGTAGGTCTACTTTTGACTGCCTATGCAAGCCGCTAGAGTTCATGGTTCACACCAATTACTCCAATGAATAAATCTAGCTTCTCAAAAAAGCATACTGTTTCAATTGGTGGATGATCTGATTCGAGCCGAATCAGACAAAAGTATTCTTCCAGAGTAGTCAAGCCTTTCTATTTGGAAGTAATACTCTATAAAGCAGGCTGTATTTGAACGTTCAAAACATGAGAATCAGAACCGACCAGTTGTCTGCTACACTATGCATAGGCATGTTTTGTGGAATAGGCACAAGTCTGTATGTTCCATTCAGTCTCTCTTTCTCTCCAGAAGAATGAGGTATATAAGGACCTCCAAGGCTGGAGATAGCCAGGCAAACTTGTTTCCATCTGTCAGATCTGATGGAGAGATGGAAACATTAAAAAACATCTGTATAAAACAGATTCCAGTGTATTGTTCGAAACATGAGACTCAGAACCTACACTATGCATAAGCATGTTTTGTCCGTATGTTATCCATTCAGCCCCTCTTCTTCTCCAGAAGAGGTTGGTATAGAAACTTCTCCACGGCTGCAGATGGCACCGAAGATAGCCAGGCAAGCCTGTCTTTGTACACCAGAGAGCTTCGCCAAGTCATTTGCTGTAAAGCTTCCGATCACCAGGCAATTGCTCTGTACTTTTTGGTGTTTTGAGTCCCAAAATTATCTACAGATCCCTCGACATAGGGACAGTCTGACTATGTGTAGAACGTTTCCCAGATATTTCACTTTCACTGCATATGGAATAATCTCATCACTGAAGTACTATCACGTACTTTCGTTCGGTACTCACAACTCTAAACAGATACGTTTCTTTCTGTTCCAGGATTCCTACGAGAACGAAACCTTCCCCGAACTGATGTGTGACCTCTGCCAGAAACCCTTCCCCACGCCCGCCGAATGGGTGAAGCACATCCAAAAGGACCACACCGAATTCGAGCTGCACCTCTCCAACAAGAATGTCAACCCTTTCTATTTGGAAGTAATACTCTATAAAGCAGGCTGTACTTGAATGTTCAAAACATGAGAATCAGAACCAACCAGTTGTCTGCTACACTATGCATAGGCATGTTTTGTGGAATAGGCACAAGTCTGTATGTTATCCATTCAGCCTCTCTTTCTCTCCAGAAGAATAAGGTATATTAGGATCTCCAAGGCTGGAGATATCACTGGAGATAGCCAGGCAAACCTGTCTCCATTTGTCAGATCTGTTGGAGCGATTGAAACATTAGAAAATATCTATATAACACAGATTCCAGTGTATTGTTCGAAATGTGGATATCCATAGGCATGTTTTGTCCGTATGTTATCCATTCAGCCCCTCTTCTTCTCCAGAAGAGGTTGGTATAGAAGCTTCCCCACGGCTGCAGATGGCACCGAAGATAGCCAGGCAAGCCTGTCTTTGTTCACCAGAGAGCTTCGCTAAGTCGTTTGTAAAGCTTTCGATCACCAGGCAATTGCTCTGTACTTTTTGGTGTTTTGAGTCCCAAAATTTCCTACAGTTTCCTTGTCATAGGAACAGTCTGACTATGTGTAGAACGTTTCCCAGATATTTCACTTTCACTACACATGGAATAATCTCATCACTGAAGTACTATCCCGTACTTTCGTTCGGTACTCACAACTCTAAACAGATACGTTTCTTCTTGTTTCAGGATTCCTACGAGAACGAAACCTTCCCCGAACTGATGTGCGACCTCTGCCAGAAACCCTTCCCCACGCCCGCCGAATGGGTGAAGCACATCCAAAAGGACCACACCGAATTCGAGCTGCACCTCTCCAACAAGAAGAGCTACCCTTCGGGCAAACAGCTCGCCCCCTCCTCCAGAACGGACACACCTTCTCCTCAGAGCGGTGACGGGGGCAAACAGTGCGCAGATTGCAACAAGACGTTCCCCTCCCACGCATCCATGGTCATCCACAAACGCAGCCATACGGGAGAGAAGCCGTTCAACTGCGATATGTGCAGCAAGACGTTCAACGTGAAGAGTAACCTACTGCGCCATTTAAGGACTATTCACAATAAGATTATCAATTCGACTGAAGTCGAAAGCAAGGAGGACGATTCGAGCAACTGAACTATTTAGGTTAGGTGACGCGACGGCCTAGAAATCATTTGTTTTGTAATAGTGAATCGACTGTTTTTTTTTTACCTTCGAGTTTCCATTCCTTTATGACTTGATTTTGTAATTAAATTCCTGTTAATTTACAACTGATTTGTAACATTTTTTGAAATATCTCAAGCATTGTTAAATTTTCGATAACATTCAAATTTGAATAAATAAAATGTTTAAATAAATCATCCACAAGTGTTGATTGTTTATGTGGATTTTGGTAATTGAAAATTTTTTTTGTGAAGAAGGTATAGTGTAGTCTACCTAAGAAGAAAGCTATGTCTTGCTATGATTATTGAAAAATTCTCAAAATTTACCTTGGCAATGCATTTGTGGTCCAGCCTAACACCACTGATGATATCTGTGATGGGTCAAAACAGCGCCTTGGGTCAAAACAGTTGCCTTGCAGTACAAGTTGATATCATTTATTTCAACTTTTAGAAGCCATTCGATCAGGATTTATTTCGAAATGTTGATTTATAATTTTAATATATTTGGCTTCACTGCTGATCTAGTCGTTCCTTTTTGGACCTTATCAGTGTGCTGAAATTAATCGCCATAATTTTGTGAACTATCATTAGGGCTGCCACAGGGTTCCAATCTTGGTCTACTGATATTTTTACACCAATATCCAGAGATAGAGCGAGATCAATGACTTGGGCATCATTTTTGATCATGAACCGATTTTCAGGCGTCGGTTTTATCGATACAGAGAAAAGACAGTGGCAATATTCAATCATTAACAATTCTATATTATAGCATATATTATAGGTTGAATCAGTTGAATTTTGTGTCGTTGAGCAAAAGAAGAATAAATATCTCCAAACAATTCCTCTTTAATTCTATCACTAATCATAATACTTTCTGAGGATATGCTGCTCAAAATCGATTTTTATTGTACCTTATGGCAATTGTAAACATCACACTCTCTATATCATGCATGAAATATACTTTCAGACACAAACTGGAAAAATAGTCTCCCTAAACAACCATAAGTTGAATATTAATAGAGGTTTATCCCAACACCAAACCGTAATTTTAACACCCCGAAACGTGTTTCGATCACCAAGTGATGATCTTCAAGAGGAAGATTACTTTCCTGCTCCGTAACGCCCGTCCGCACGTTCCACAAATCACTGTCCGAAACGAATTGATCGCCGAAGTTCTGCTTCACCCACCATACTTCCCAGACCTCTCGCCAACTGACTACTATTTTTAAAGGAGTTCAAAGGAGAGTCATAAAAATGGACAAAACTTTTGAAACAACCTCTTATCAACATAATTTCATTTATCAATAACGTTGGACATCGTAGTTCATCCCTACTGTAGTCCAACAACTATTTGGTATCAAGCTTCGAAGGGTGAATGAGCGCCTTGAGGTAAGCTAATCCTGGAAAATTCTGCCTGAATTCCACAAATATTCTTACCATGCAGGTGTTCAATTTTTGTTTGGCAATCCTAAAGCGACGCCAATGAGAGGTTCTGGTCCGATGAAGTTGCTTGCAGCACCCTCTTTTGCAAGGCAGTCAGCAGCTTTATTGCCTTCCAGGCCAGTATGGCCTGGAATCCAGACCAGAGACAATCTGTTAAGTGTTCCTATCGAGGAGAGTCGTATTTGGCAGTTTGCTACCAATGTAGACGATGCTCGGTAGGAGCAAAGAGCTTTCAACGCCGCTTGACTGTCCAAGCTTCGAAGGGGGAATAGAAGCCTTGGGGTGAGCCAATCCTGGTAGATTCTGCCAGAAGTCCATGAATCTTCTTGCCATTGAGGTGTTCAGTGTTTATTGGGCAAAGTCCAAAGCGATGCCAATGACAGGTTCTGGTCCGATAAAGCCGCTTGCAGCACCCTCCTTTGCAAGAGAGTCAGCAGCTTTATTGCCTTGCAGGCCAGCATGGCCAGGAATCCAGACCAGAGACAATCTGTGTTAAGTTTTCCCGGAGAATCCAGTTGTCTCTACTCGGGTATAGTACTTTATAAGGCAGTTCGTAGTTGACAGTTGGAGGAATAAAGTCAGAGGTGATTTCCAGAATGCTGTGACTTCCAATATCAACCAACAGTCTGTTGCACTCTGCATTGAATTGATTTGTGCAATTGGTAATGTGCACAAGTCTGTATGCAGTCCATCTAGCCTCTCTCTTCATAAAAATGTGGAGAGAAGGTAGATCTAGAAGGATTTTCATGGCCACTGACGGTGGCCTGTCTCTGTAAAGCCTTCGGCCACCAAGCAATTGCTCCATAACTGATCATTGGTCTGACAATCATCACATGAATCCAATTGATTTGTTTGGGACCTAAACCCCAAGTTTTACCACAAATCCTTCGACATGTCCATAGAGACAGTCTGGCTTTGTGTAAAACTTTTTCCAAGTGAGCGTTCCAGGTAAGTCTTTCATCAAGGACAATGCCAAGATATTTCACCTCCGTTCCAAATGGAACGACCACACCATTGAGGGAAAATGGCGATAGATCGTCCAATTTTCTCCTCTTGGTGAAGGGGATCAACACAGTTTTGCTGGGGTTGACAGACATCTGCTCCCTCAGGCACCAACTGTGAACAATGTCCAACGCGCTTTGGAGGATATTACAAGCAGTATCTGTACTGGTAGCTATGTAGTAGTGAATTTCTGCCGAAGAACGACGATTGAAGATTGTTGAAAAATTGTTGGCAAATGTTTCGGTAACTAAATTGCCATCATCAGGTTATGGGAATGGCTCACATTCAATAGAAACGCTTTCAAACACGTTCACGAGTAAATATTCAGTTGAGAGTCAGTTTTCATGCAGTACAGTACTCACCAGAATTTGGAAACCAGCAAGTCTCTTCAGCAAACCTGGGCCTTATGTCCGTCCATTTGGTTCTGTCTAATAACGCCGCAATTCCTGCTATAATAAACGGGATGCCCCAAGCATAGGCTTCGTACAATCTCAAACGAAGCTTTTCCTGACTTTTTTCAGTGCTCTGCGGCCTCAAATCTCTGAAACAACACAAATATTTGAATTTACATGTATAATATTATTTTGATATCACATGACATTTATTTCAAATGTTACTGTTGGCAACAGTGACATTACAATAGTCAAGCAGCAGAGTGATGATTCATTTTCAAGTGTCTTTTCCATAGGCATACATAATGGGGAATGTTCCTCAATTTGGGTTATTAAAGCAAATGCAAGTTTGGACAAAATAAAGTTGAGTTTAATTCATGAGTTTCTCAAATTCACTTCGAAAAGCATTCAAATTGATGTTTCAAATGTTGGGTTTTAATTTTTAAACGGATTTGTTTCTAATTCACACATTGGCAACAGCACCTATATCAAGTTGAAATAATTTATACGTACCTAGATATTCTACTTTAAAAAAAGGAAATGATCTTTATAAATCAACAATTGAGGCAAATTATAAATTATAGTTCAATACCACCTCCACAAACCACATAAACAACAGTTGTTTTGTTATTTATTTATATAGAGGAAGATAGATTAGGTGCACAAAATGTCGTATGTCACAGAATGTCTCGGAACTCGGAACATAAGTAAACAGAACAGCATGCCTCTGAAATATGTCATATTTGTTTGTCTCATACAGGTAACAGATTCATTGTCCTTCATTAGCTATAACCGATGTTGCCAAATGGTGAAATAGAAACGAATCCCTTTTTATTGTTATTTTTCGTAATGGTTAAGTCCAGGTAATTTATTGAATTATTTACCTCCCTCTCAGTGGTGAATTTTATTGACGGGTGGATGGAATTGGCATATTCAATGAACTTGTCTTTTTGCCTATCTGTACCAGTAAAACATACTAAGATATCATCTACGTATCTGTACCAGTACCCTGTACCCTTAGAATGTTGAATGCATTATATCATTCTTCTTTTTTAAGTATTTAAATAATCAACACCTAGATCAGTGAGTGTGTCAGAACGCTCCAGAACTTGATTGTTTATGACGTAGTTGTGTAAATTCAAGTTCGTTTTCAGTGAGTAAAACAACATTACATTACATTTGGATATGTTAAGAGATAGATTATTTTCTCGACACCATGTAGCAACGCGATTTAAATTCAGGGCGAGGCTTTCACAATAATTAAAACTTGTTATATTGAGATAGAGTTTCAAGTCATCTGCGTATAAGAGAAAATTGACATCAATCTCAGCTCCACATCATTAATGAACATATTGAACAGTGAGGGTTCTAGATTTGATCCTTGTGGTACAAGATTGGTGGTGGTTGAACGTCCTTTCATAAAACCGTGTTGGCTGGGGCTAATAATGTTGCTGATATGACAATAGATTATCTTCTTAAGAAGCATCTCGAAACACTTTACAAAAGTTGCATATGATAGAAATTGGTCTGTAATTTTTTATCTCACTTTTACCTCCTTTTTTGAAAATTGGGCAGACTTTCTACATTTTCCATATTGATGGTACAGTTGATGTTTTCAGGCATATATTAATTAGAGCTGTTAGTGGTTCAACCAGAGCTGAGGCACAATCTTTAATGATCGAACTGTAATTACTGTAATTTTACTAAAGACCAGTGACAAAGAAACCAAGATAACATTAACCGGTGACAATTCCACTTCTCGTTGATCCATAAAATGAAGTACAAAACCGTGAAGCCATTGAAATAGGGGCTCATTGTGTTCTCGAGTCCTTTCCCTTCATTGCCCCAAAGACATAATTATTTCAATGACATTTGTTCGGAGCAATAGAACCCCGAAGTTCTCTTTGAAATTGTCGGTCTTGATGGATTATTATAATTACAGATGGATTTTACAGAATAAACATCTGCGAGTTGCATTCCACAATGCTCCATTATTCTTTTTCGGTTCCAGGCACAAATACCAAAATAGAGGGTGTTTCAAATTCGATCCTCACCATTGGGATCTCGGAAACTATGAGAGATACGAATATGGTTAATTTAGGGCAAAGCTGCGCATTTACCTGGCTGACAATATGCCGTATTTCATCCTTGTAATTTAAGTTTTTTGTTTTATTAAAATTGTTATTTTCGGTTAATCTTTTATTTTTTTCAGGGATTTTAAATCAATTTATGGAAGTCCGAACTGATGAAATATACCATGAAACATTGTCAGCCACCTTCAAACTAACAATATGCCGTTGAGAATGTTCTGAAGTATATCCGGAGATATCCGGAAAAAACAGAAATTTGAGAAAATGGTTTTTATTTTTTACTGTCTTTATTTTTCGAAGGATTCGAGAATAAATTGCACTTCCACATTGCCACTTTTTTCCTGCTACATAATGGTGTTTTCAGATTTGCTATCCGACGTTTGGTCATCCGGCCACCATCATCAACTTAATTTTTTCTAATGGGCGCTTCATAGGATTCTTTCTGTTTTGAATAGAACCAGATTTTACCTTATCAATGATGTATCATAAGTTTAATTCTTTTTCGAAAAATTGGAAAAATTGAAAAGATTAATTCTTATCATTACAGGCTTCCACTTTGATGTTTCTGAATTTGACTTTCAATTTGTTACACTCGATGACATTTTGTTATTGTACAAGTCATTGAATTTTTGGCGAAAAAATGGCTTTCACGAATGAAGAAAAAAATAAATATGATACAAATTTATTACAAATACGACAGAAACAGTGTTAGGACATCGGAAATGTATTTAAACTTGTATCCTGAAAGACGACAACCACATCGAACTATCTTCAAGTTGTTGTTCAAAGCCTATTATGATAAGAATTTTTTTTTCAATATCTCCAATTTTTCGAAAAAGAATGATAACTTATGATACATCATTGTAAAGGTAAAATCTGGTTCTATTCAAAACAGAAAGAATCCAATATAGCGCCCTTAAGAAAAAATTAAGTTGATGATGGTGGCTGGAAGACGAAACGTCGGATAGCAAATCTGAAAACACTATTAAGTAGTAGGAAAAAAATCGCAACGTGGAAGTGCAATTTATTTTCGAATCCTTCGAAAAATAAAGCCAAAAAAAAAAATTAAAACCGTTTTCCAAAATTTCTGTTTTTTCCGGATATCTCCGGAAATACTCGGAATTGCAGAACTTTCTCGACGGCATATTGTTGGTCAGGTAAATGCGCCTCGGTTTAACCATCACCGTATCTCTCATAGTTTCCAAAATCCCAATGGTGAGGATCGAATTTGAAACACCCTGAATATCAGTAAACAGGATATACGAGTACGTGGACTGTTTAAAAAATAAGGTGAAAGTTTGAATTTCGCTTGCAACATACATTTTATAAGCGATATTTTTACATTGTTACAAATGTATTATATCTGCATATGAACAAATAAGTATTTTCTGAGAAAAATCAAAATGTACTTTATTTTCTGAACATAGTAGTGTACATACCCAAGTGTTCCCAAGCTCGTTTCTGTAAATTACGAATAGAACGGGCTCTAGAATAGAACCATGAGGTTCTCCTTGTGTCTGAGAAAACAGTATGTTTCACAATGTTCGTACGATTATTTAGAGTGACAAACACGAATTCCAACGGATTTAAAGTGTGTTTCCAAGCTCGTTTCTGTAAATTACGAAGAGAACGGGCTCTGGAATAGAACCTTGAGGTTCTTCTTGTGTCTGAGAAAATAATATGTTTCACAATGTCCGTACGATTATTTAGAGTGACAAACACGAATTCCAACGGATTTAAAGTGTGTTTCCAAGCTCGTTTCTGTAAATTACGAAGAGAACGGGCTCTGGAATAGAACCTTGAGGTTCTTCTTGTGTCTGAGAAAATAATATGTTTCACAATGTCCGTACGATTATTTAGAGTGACAAACACGAATTCCGACGGATTTAAAGCGTGTTTCCAAGCTCGTTTTTATAAATTACGAAGAGAACGGGCTCTAGAATAGAACCATGAGGTTCTCCTTGTGTCTGAGAAAACAGTATGTTTCACAATGTCCGTACGATTATATAGAGTGACAAATACGAATTCCGACGGATTTAAAGTGTGTTTCCAAGCTCGCTTCTGTAAATTACGAAGAGAACGGGCTCTAGAATAAAACCTTGAGGTTCTCCTTGTGTCTGAAAAAATGATATGTTTCACAATGTCTGTAGGATTATTTAGAGTGACAAACACGAATTCCGACGGATTTAAAGTTTTCTACCTTGTATAAACACAAGTTTATTTTAAAAGCAAGTTTCACACTTGCCGTCATCGTTCACCGCGAGGTTGTGTAATATTTTCATTGATCGGTTTAGCAAAACATTAATGTTATAGCGCGAAAATAAGCAACTGTATTGAAAGGATTTGAATACAGAAAATAAATTTGAAATATTTTCGTTTAGTTTGTCTGAACGACTGAAAAATAATGTAACTTAGATGAAAAACGGCTTATCGAAAAGGAAGATTTTTCAATAAAGGTTTTTCCTATCGTGAAAACTATCCAGATCGTAAAAACTATTTCCGAGATAAATTTGATTAGTTTGAATAGGGTGGTTATACACAATTATTTTACGAGGGTGATCCCAAAAATACCAGGCCAAAAATACCAAGGAAAACACAAACATTTTGAAAAAACATTTATTTATTTTTTAACACAATCTCCTTGCAGCTCGAAACTGTTTTTATAATAAGTACTGTCTTGCTCCTCAAAATAACCATTAACTGCCGACATTGCTTCTCCGTCATTGGAAAATCTCTGACCACTGAGCCATTTTTTCAAATTCGGCAACAGAAAATAATCCGAGGGTGCTAAATCTAGCGAATAGGGTGCATGAGGTAGCAACTCAAACTTCAATTTGTTAATTTTGGTCATCGCGATGATGGATTTGTGAGCTGGTGCCATGTCTTGATGAAACAACAATTTTTTCGTAGCCAAATGCGGCGTTTTTGCTTAATTTCTTCACTCAACGTTGCAATAAGTTCGTATAAAACTCGTCATTGATCGTTAACCTTTTACAAGACAGTAAATGTAAATTATCCCACGCACATCCTAAAAAACCGATGCCATGACTTTGCCTGCA